TGTATTAACATCTTTAATGTTTTTAAGGAAGTGCTACCTATATATGGAATTGATCAGAATATCAGCTGCATGCTGAACTCAGACCTTTGCTCTACCTTCACTAACTTTAACAGCATAACTACAATTCAATTGGTTACTTAAAACTAACTAATCAATAAGTAATTAGTGATCAAATCATCATATTTTAAATGTAAACTAGGCATGTACTTTTTCTTCTGTACTGTTACCATACTTCAGTTAATTTGAAAACACAGACATTTAGAATTAAACCAAATTTAAAAACAAATAAGAAACTGTAAAATACTTCACAACTGATAATGCTAGAATGTCATATATTACTTGTAGTTACACTGAAAGACTACTGAGAAACCATGACATGCACTCTTACATTTTAATATTCAGAATCTGGCTACTAACTGTGCTAGTTAATACTACTGACAGAAGCATGTAAGAAAGGAGATGGAGGAAAAAAAAAAAGGCAGACCTATGCAATGCTCTCTTTTTTTTTTTCTTTTTGTCCATAAAGTTGAAGGCTGATACTTGTGTGTCATCATGTAAGAAAAATTAAGATAGGACTACATGCTAAGAAATAGATTTTAAGATACCAGTAACATTACTAAGTGTGGTTACCTACTAAACTGTCAAGAAGCCAGAGCCAATGCTAAATTTAGACTAAAGAAATACAGTGTTTTAAAAATCAATCTTCAAATAGACTTATTGCATACAACTATTTCTGGTTGAAAAAAACCCAACAGATCTAAACAAAGGTTTTAAAACTAAAGTCACCAGAGTGTATTAGTCAGTATAACTCCTTTACTCATAAACACAAAACTGTATTTGTTACACTGGTGAATGTTCCAATACTTGAACTCAATATATTTATGTATATATACACTTATACACAAACTCACTGCATGTTGGTATTGGCATTTAGGTATGAGATATTGAAGTTATATCTAATTTCTAAATTTAGCTTATAAATTTATTTGGTTAAGAATAATTCCTGTTAAAATCAATGAGGAAAAAAATCCATATCAAAACACCTCCCCAAAGATCTTCCTCAGTCTCCCTGCAAAAGAAAGTATGTTAAAACTATCTTTATACACAATAAACACCACCTTATTTATTTCTGCTCGAGAAATATTTATCAGTAAAGCTGCCAAGAATGACTTGATGCATGCCAGAATCTTCAGAGCACCAAATTGCTATGCATTTTTTATTGTTTCTAAAGAACATTACTTGAAAAGCAGCAAAACTTAACACAATTTCTGGAAATTTGTTACAGTGCTATTATAATTAAAAATCCACAAGGTAGATATCTTTAATTAGAATACTGGTCTTCAAACATTTAATTCCTTCTCTATCTTTTTCATTGTAAAGAGAATTTCTTACCCTTGCTTCCAAGGGTCTATTTTTCAGGCACTATCAATCCTCCTGGTTAGGAGGCTGTGTCCCAATATCTTCACATGGCCAACAGCTAAAAGAAATACACTATTTACCTGAGAGAAGAGAAGGAAAAGAGAATTGTGGGAGCAACTCAGAAGCACGAGATGATATTAGCTCTCTTCAAGCCCCACCACTCTGCTGTAAAATGGAACTGAACCGTTGTCTGTGTCCCAGGGACAATCAGTTACTGTCAGCCTCAAAAGCCAGAGATGAGAATCACCTGGCACAATGGCACAACACTACTGCTTGCCACATGACAATCACAAGACCTTCACCTGAACCATTCAGAAGACAAAGAATATTCAGAAGAACAAACTGGACACGATTTTGTATTTCCCATATGGCTTAGTTTCACATATGTTCCCACAATCTCATCTCCAGCTCTTATCTTCTACATTTCACTCCAGACTGATCACTTCTCTTCTGCTTTTCAACCATCAGCTTTGTATCTCCCTAATTTTTTTGTACATTGCAATCAATTTTTCCCAGTAAGTATATGGAAGCAATCTCCCTCAAAGCATTTTTAGTTGCCTTTCAACACCAATCACAAAGCAGACATCAGCAAAATTTCTACTGAATATTTAAACATAATAATTTTAAAATTCTACCAATATTTTAAATCTTCTGATATGTTCTGCAGCACAACTCCTTGGGACAGATGCCAACTGGTTTTGACGTACAAGATGTACTTGCAAGCGGACTTGTCTATCTCGTATTGGCCTTTTTAGCCACCAGCGCGCTTGTAGCAAACGTGGGTAGAGCCCTTCCCAAATCTTCGTTCGTGAAGCCCAGCCATGAACAAGATGCACTAAAGTATTACTCAAATGCAGGGATAAAAGATATCTAGCATATTCCTTTATATACATGTTCTTAAGAGAAACATTTTCAAATCGAACATTTTTTCCTAGAATAAGATATACCAATAGCTGAGTGTCAACTGTCTTCAAGCATTACAGACTCAGAACACAAATCTTGGCTACAGAAGTTTTCTGCTTAAAATTTTTGATCACTGCAAAGACCTGAACTACAAAGACCTGATGTTATTTCAAACAGTGAACATATTAATAGTTTTCTTTTTACTTAGGAAGTTTAGTAATCTTAACATAAAAGAACAGGTTAACACAAAGAATTTGCTATGTGCAAAAGTGTGTTGCTAGAAAGTTTACTGGAAGGTCTTTCTGAAGTAGCTCAAAATCGTGCATTATGAGGGGTGGCAGATGTACATGGACAAACCTGCCAGAACTACTTGATAGTGCTGACAAGCAGAACTTACTGTGTCAACATATTGCCCAATTTTGGGGTGGGGGGGAAGAAGAAGAAAAAAAAGGCAACCAAAACCTTGGCAGCAAATATTAAAAACTCTTAGACTAATTTGAATTTCATTTTTATCGTGTAACTAAACAGTTGCCTCCTATCAATAATATGGTTTCAAGACATCTTTGGCAATTTGTTTAGTACAGCAGCAATTAACATTAACGCAGATCACAATTTTGTAAGCAAAATTCAGCAGTTTGTATAAAAAAATAGGAAAAAAAAATACAAGTTTTCTGAGTCTCCGAAATCAGAATGTTATACCAACTGGTGCTGAGAGTAGTCTAAGTATTTGCTTTCAGTGGAACCTGAAAACACTAGGTTAAATTCACAGAGGAAAAAAAACAAGTTTTCAAATTTACATATTGCCTAATATGTTAGTTTTTCAAAACCTTAATTTTAGAAAACAGAGGAACTTTTCTTTAAAAGCAGTTGTCTACTTTTTTTCTCCTAGTGATGACTAAATATTTGTCAGTTTAAATTGAGACAATTTACAGTCACAATAATAAACTTGTATATTCATTAAAGATGTATCTCAACAATCAAACCACCAAAATAAGACCATTTACTGTTGTTTTCCCTACTAATTCAAATATATCGAAATTTGTCATGTCTTCTATGTAGACAATTAAGAATAATTGTAAATCGAAACACATTTCCCACTCCTAAAAAACGACTGGGAGCTATATTCATTAGCTTTTGTGTCACTGTGCTCTGTGCAAAATACTATTTGAACCAGGCATATTGTGTCTAAAGCGTAATCTTTCTCCAGACTTCAGCGCTCCAAAGACATTAACCAGCAGTTCACCAGAAGCCACTCCGCCTTCATTTAGGGTAGCCAATAAAAAATTTGCAACTCTCCCTTTAAACAGAATGAAGCAGCAAAATGAAATTTCAGGGCTGACTATAAGGTGCCCTCTTTGAATGGGACTGGAAAGTACACACGATAACATGTATTTTACTTCGCAGTCTCTAAAAATAATGGGGGTGAGGGTTGTGTGCTTGATTTTCTTTTTTACTGCGTCTCTAATACTGTCAGGATAAATGCTATTCTTACCAAACTTGTAAGTTAAAAATGTTTAAGAGTTCATACTTTGTTGAGAAAACAATTACCTAAAAACAAGAATATATGAATGGTTAAAATGTATTTCAAGGCAGAAAATTTTGACTTGTCTGACACTAAAACAGCTAACCCAGAAAAAATTAGAGATTCACTTCATCTTATATAGATATAACTGCAAGTGCACGCTCTGCTTTTTTTCAACCTAAAATGGATTTCACACCATGACAGGTTTCATTCTGCATTAAAATTGCAAATCTTCTATGTGGCCCAGTTTCAGCTGCAATTGATCTGCTTTGTCGTCATAGATTAAAAAAAACAGTGAAGGGCACTGCAGCTTTAAATATTTCAGAGCTATGTAGCTAGTAAATAGACTCCATTGCAATATGGCTCTGAAGGTCGTGTCCTATTGTCTCTTTTCTCTGCAAATATTTTGAACAGCATAAAATGGTTTATTTTATACAATACCTCCCTGCCATTTCTAAATCATGTCAATTGTATTAGGCACTTCCTTACTGGAAAGGACAGATACGCCACACTTTCCACACACACCCACGCTGCTTCGTATTCAAAACGTCCACTGTGAATATAACAGCAGGGTGTACATACTAGAGGTACACAGCTTTTCATATGGATACCTTATGCAAACAGACTCCCCATTAAATCCCACCACAACATAAGGACAATTAGTTATTTCAATGGTGATAAAATAATTAACTGGATTTCAGGTCAAGAAGCATCTTTGGTTAAAATTAACAGCCCAGTTAGAAAACTGAAGGCAGCAATTTTAACATTTCCATTTTCTCACATATGGGAGAATACGAAAAAAAATTATAACACAGCACCAGAAAAATGCAGGCTGCCAAATCTGTTTTTCATGAAGGCTACTACCTTTCAGATGATAAAAAAGAGCAAAGAACAACAACATAAAAAAAAACCAAAAGCCCTGTCACATTTAACAGTATGTTATAAAAAAATAAGACTATAAATCTTAAGCCCAAATTGGAAATCTCTGTGTATGTAGACCCTAGGTTCGACCCCAATTCTTTCATATAAGGTGACTATTTGATGCAAATATGAGTAATGGAGATGCCTCTCAGAACAGAAATGTGAAATACACCCCTGCAAAACCCACAAATTTGTGATAGCTGCCAATGTTCAGAAGGTGCACGGAGTCATTTACCTGAAAAGGCAACAGATTGTTGCCATTGTCCGTCCTGAACGCGTTGTCTTCCATCCAGGATTTGGGGGTTAAGGGTGCAGCCCGTGGGAACTTCGGAGGGGCAATGACATTGCTGGAGAACGGTTTTTTAAGGGGTGAAATGGGATTGAGGGGGGAGGGTACACCGACCCCCACTCCCACGCCGACCCCCACTCCAACTGCCCTTCGAGGGTCCCTACCAGCCTGCAGCCCACCCCAAGGGTTGGAAGGTGTACTCCAAGCCGCATTTTGATGGTTATTCCAGCTGGAGGAGGAAGAAGAAGAGGCAGAGGAGGAAGATGGTTTGCTGGTCATGATGGGCTGATGGCTGTAAGCAGCATTTCTCTGGGCAAAAGGTGCCTGATTAGGGCTTACAGGTGACCTCCGCTGCTGCTGCTGCTGCTGGGCTTGCTGCTGCTGCTGCTGATGTTGGTGGTGTTGAGTCTGAGCTAGGCCAATCTGAGGTGAGAAAGTGCCACCAAATACAGGGTTGACATGGTGTGGAAAATTCTGGAAAAGCATTGTCCCATTGACTGGAGTAATCCCCTGGAAAAAGCTATCATCCACCGTGTTTGTGGTCCCTGTAGACCAGGTGCTGCCAAAGGAGGGAGACAAGGAGGTGCCGGCTGCAGGTTCTTGTTGAGGCTGGTGAAAGCTCAAGCCAGGCAAAATGGGAGACTCCATCTGCATCTTCTCCTTGCTATTTTGGGAAGGAGCCGATGTGCCGATACTAGTCACTGAACTGTTGTCTTCTGGTTTGGGTGTCTCCGACGAGATGGGTGTAGAGGGGGCTTCTGCTGAGTTTGGATCTTGCTGTTGCTGCTGCTGCCGCTGCTGCTGGGGCTGGGCTTTGCTTTTGTCCATCAGTAAATCATCCTGCATGGTTTGCGCAGCTGAAACAGTAGGGGAAAAAACCACAAAGACAGATTATTAACATTGTCATTTATACCACAAACCAGTCTGTTTTAATCATTTGCCAGCCAAAAATCTCGCCCTATTGCTAGTACTATGCTACAGCAAATTGCCAGGCAAACCCGTAATCTTCCCCCTCCCCCATTTAGGAATATGTAACCTTTGATCGTGCTAGATTGCCTTTAAAAGATTTTTTAAGATGCTTCACCCTTTTTGATGCCTTGTTTCCCTTCAGTCTAAATGAGAGATGTGCTTATAGGGCAGAGATATACAGCAATTTCGCCACGTCTCTTTTCTCTTACACCGGAACTCAGAGCTCTCACCCTGCAATGAGAAACTGATTCTGGTTCCTGTTTTTCCAAGCACCCTCCTCCTCCTCCACCTCCTCCCCCTGGTTATTTGCATACGTCAATAAATACTGCTGCGTCCTTCAGCAAGGTTAAAAAGACACCAGTCTTCGCTCTTCTCCACCCCCTTTTCTATTAGGGGACCTTTAAAGGAGCCGGGTACCGATTTTTCCTAATTAACAAACAAGCTTTCAATGATTTAGATTTATCAGAGAGAAAGCACACACGACAGCTCGCACTGATACGGGAGAGGTTCTTCGCTGCACAATCGTTTCCTGCCCTTTCCCTGCCGGCTCGGGGCAGGAGGGGCGATGGCCACGCCGGGGGAAGGGAGGGAGCGGGGGGTGGAGACACTTCACGTACAAAGCCTCCGATGGATGTTTTATTTGCCTTCATGACCTTACGGTCTCTCCATGTAAAATGCTATTTTACATTAAAGCAGTCGTCTGCTCGCTCTATTTATATATATATATATATATATATATAACCATCGGTAATTTGTTCATTAGAAAACCATAAGGTCAAAATGAGCAGATCTTAGAGCTATTACTAGACTATGATGTTTCTGTTGCTTTCAAATGAAAAACAAACCCAAGGAAAATCGAAATACTAACATATAGACATAGCTGCATGTTAAAAAACATCCTTATATGCACAAGACAAAGACTAGTGATGCAAATTATTTTTTAAATCAATACATAAGGTTAAGCTTTAAAAAGTAAATGTGGAATGGTTGAGTCATATCTGCTAGAAAAGGTGCTTCATACGAAAAGATGATATAATTTTATTATTGTTTTGAAACACAATAGTACTAATGCAATACAGACATCACTTAACAGCAATTGTATGAAATCACAACAGGAACATCAACATATTGCAGGCTTTTAGTCAACTGAAGAGATCGTTCTAAATCTCAAAAGTATTTTAAATGAGCCCCAAATCACTCAGTTTAATTGAGTGACTATGTCAAATATGGCCATCGCTGGATACCTAATTGCATTTCTATTGAGTTAATCATATGATAGGAACATGCCTAAGACTGCATTTTTAGGATTGTTATTTTAAGGTAACAAAGTAAAGCCAAATGGACTGACTATTTAAGAAAGGTGGCAAAGCATGAAATTGTCGACACTGTCCTTCCTGATATCAGCGGTCTTCAGATGGTCTGTGTGTATCTAACATTTTTTGTCTCTTTTTTTCTTTCTTTTAAATCTCTTTGAGCCACACACACACGTTTTAGTTAATATGAATGTCAGGAGACGTTCCTGCTATCAATTAAGTTACTGCTTACGCTCCCCCTTATTTACCAGTTCAGTATGTAAACCGAGCAGCAAGGGTTCCCGAACAGACTAAGCAGTGAGACAACATTAAAGCAAGCTCCTAAGAAGGATGGACTAAACTATTGCATCTGTACCAGGCAGCGCTGCTGCTGCTGCTGGGAGTGCAGAAAACCTTGTGAGGCAGTTTAAAGCAATACTGCAGTCAGCCAGAACATACCAAGCTCTGTGTAACTTTCCATTAGCTTCACTTCTACCGAAAATCACTATTGCTCCTAAGGCTACATAAAACTGCTCATGGTTCCACATCAGAGAGAGAAAAGGATTATATATATCCCTCTACCCTGGTTCTGAGCTATCAGTATAAAAATACATTTAGAGATAAAAACATAGCAGATGAAATGTTAAAATTCTGTTGTCAATAAAGTATATTTAAATCAGTTAGTCACCAGGTTATCTATAGTGGCTAGCACAGCAGTTGCTTCAAATATGTACCTTGCCTTAGCTAGCTGGTTTTGAACTTTATCCTAAGGACTGTGATTTGCATTCCCTTTCATATTGCTTCTTAAAGGTAAAAATCACTGTGCAGTTCAACCCTCTCGTCAAGGTCAAGACCTACCTTTAATGAATGAAGCCAGTCTGAATGGAAAAACACTGGATAATAAATGACTTTGAAAGACAGGCCAGCCAATGTCTAATGTTGGACTACTACGCAGTACCTCTTGATTATTTGCCGGTGTAAGTATTTTTACAAATTTACAATCCAGTACAGGAAATCTATATCCCCACAGCAATACCAGATCTGTTTGCATGCAGTAACCCACGCAGTCAACACAGAAATTTTTAAGGAACAGTTACCTTTGGATTTTCTGTATTTAAAGATCAATAAAAGGAGAGTATATTTATTTTCTTCTTTCGGGTTTGCTATATGACAAATAGTCGACCATTCGGGCAAGAGCACTTTGACAACTGGAAGCTCTCAGCGCATGCTCTCCCAAGGAATCATGGGGGTTGAAGTCTTATCTATAGACAGCATTTCACTGCTGCCTATCCTGAAAGGAAAAGAGCTCGAAGGGAAAAAAAAAACATGTGCACTCTCCCTCTTTCCAGGGAAAACTGCTGCAATCTGAATCACCACCTCTGAGAAAATATCTGTCATACTGAGCTGAAAATGAAGAACTAAGTAAGAGCTTTAAACAGTTTCATTTATAAGCCCAGATCAATTAGCCACCTATTCAGAACAATTGCTAGACAAATAAATAGTTCTAGTATTTCCAAAATTCCCTTCCAACCTCCTAGTATAAAATAATAATTATAAGTTCATATCAGCTATAAAATTTAAAGCTATTACAAAGGAGATTGTGTCATGTTCCTTAGCTGAAGAAAATATTAAATAATCACTTTATATAATGTCTCAAAATATTCTGAAACTCAAACACAAGTAGGTCAAGTATGAAAATTTAAAACAAATCAAAATCAGTGCAGAGGTGAAAAGTTGTACTATTTGAATAGTTTCCAATTTCCAAGTTATGACTTTTTCATTACTTAGTTGTCGGTACACTGAAAATTCTACCAAGAAAAATAAGCTGCTCAGAAAAAAAGCAAGGTGCAAATTTTAGTATTTACCATTTCATCTACTCTGTGCACCATGGTTCCACATTTCAACCATCTCCTTTTCACTACCTACTATCTACATATCTCCAGGCTCTACATAAATATATAGCCTGACAGGAGTTCCTCTCATAAGATATTAATATTGTGATGATTAATGTAGATTGGGTAAAGTTTTCAGAATTTCATTCCTTGGCACTTGTGTTCTGTTTTGCACTAGCCCATTCTGTAAATTTATTTTGGGTAGTTATTCATAATACAAGTTATTCAGAACCAAATACTAATGCTTGTATGAAAATTACCTAGTTGAAATCAGAAGTGTGAAAATAACTGTTTAATAAAAGTGCAGGCTGATTTTCAAAGGATGAAATACGCATAGCTTTGTAGGTGAAAGAGAGAAGACTGAAGCTGAGAAAGAAAAAAATAGGGCAGTTGAAAATGAGCTTTTATAACACGTCTTTGCTTTCTGCAGTCTGTTTATGTTGGACTGTATGGTCTGCCTGTCCTAAATCAATGCTGTAATTAAGAGTTTCTCAACACTTGCTCTAACCTGTTTATACTACTCTGAATCATTAAAGGCAGGAAAACTGCTTTCTTACAGCAATTAAAAAGACTTAATTTCATGAACTATCCCAGCTATCACAGGGCTGGCTGTAGGCATTCTATATCCCCCCTTTACATCCCTATTTACTTCTGGATTATTGCTTTTCAGATGATTTGAGGATTCACGTGGAAGGCACTGATTCTGTCAGTTCTTCCCAGGAGACAGCTTCCCTTTGCAGATCAAACATTAGGATAAGGAAAAGCAGTCTAAACCCAAAGAAAATCAGGATGCAAATACAGTTTTTGATGGACTAGCCACTAACAGAAAAGCTTTTTTTTTTTGTTTGTTTCTACCGACCAACTCCATAACTGGAAGTTAAAAGATAATAACAGCTGAATCAGAACATAACAGCTTAATTCAATCTAGTATCTGAATTACTTGACCCAGGCCAGTTCCAAAGAAACAAATGTACGAAGGCCAAAATAAGCCTAGCTAACTCAATTAACATTGTATTAAGTGTATTTTTATTTTAAGAAATTCATTATGAAGCACTATAAGCCTACTATGAGTAACAAACCATGCTAGTCTTTTTGACAGATAGGGACTATTCAAACTAGCTTGACAGTTGAAATGAAGTGTTATGCTACTGGAAAAAGGTTTTGTTGTAGAAACATTTTTCTCAGTTTAGATCAGTTTCATTTTAGCCTAATTGAGGGCTCTTTGTCTCTTAAAAAATGGAAATGAGTAGATGAAAAGTGCCTAACTTATCTAATAGTTTAATTTTACATATTACTATCATAGTTAAAATTTAGTTTTGCCAAAATAGAATACTCTGATATTGCCAGATTACTTAACTTTGTTGAAAATAGTGAATAATTTCAACAGTTTTAATGCTGTCACATCAAAAGAACTGTATTAAGGTACAGCTTCTCCATTATTTTTCCTCTTTTTCGGGCCTCACTGAAACAATCAGATAAATATTTAATCTACCTCCATATAGTTCTTGCAGTAATTGCTTTTCAACTTCTTTATTAAACTTAAATCTGTATAAATTTGTTATCAAACAATTTAGCATTTTAAAAGTTGATATTTTGCAGCAAATCTCATGGCCAAATTTAGGACTCAATTTTAAGCCCTAAATAGCTTCTATTGCTTTTGGTGATTTTCATTAAGTTCTCTACTTGCCTTCAATGTGCAGTTTTACTTAATTCAAAATGGCTGGTGCCTCCAGCTAGTGTCAGGGAGGCTGAGCTCTGGCAAATCTCCATTAGTAGCAATCACTTTCCCTCACTTTGCAGTGGTGAAACAGAGTCTGCTCCCAGGAGAGTTTTCTCTTGGTTCAAATGCAGGTACTACCAGGTGAAGGGAAAAGATGACAGAGTGAGACAGTGCAATGAACGCCATGGAAGCAGAAGGAAGAAACAAAGAAGGATCTATTAAAGGACGATAGGGGAAGCAATAGTTTTAGAAAAGAAAAAACTGCAAGAGGCAACCTGAGATTTATAGTGGAAATTGCCAATGAAAAGAAGGAAGCACAAAGATCAAGAAGTGGAAAGAAAATGAAGAGAAAAGCGGGATGAGGGAGAGTGAAGGAGGAGATTGTAGGGGATAATAAAGCAAGCATTTGAATAGACCAGCTGCATATCCAGTCTTGTTAAGGAGATAAGGGTGGAATGACAACTCTTCCTCTATCAGAGAATAAGGAAGGTTTCTTTCTCCAGTGTAAAACAGTTGGTTATACACGTATTTTAGGATCACACTTTGATTCTGAGAAGAGCAGACAAATGGAGAACACATACCCCAAGCTGTCCAACAGACTTCTGAACAATAAAAAGGCACAAATCAGTTTTTAGATTTCAGAATCTTTAAGGAATATTAAGAGGTCTGCCATTATAGAATGGTTTGGGTTCTCATCATGGCTAGACTTCACGAACGAAGATTAAGGAAGGCTCTATCCACAGTTATTACAGGCACACTGGTGGCTAATGAGGCCAATATGAGATAGACATAACCGACTGCAGGTTTGGGTTCTAAGGGACCTTTAATGACCATCTAGTCCAAACCTCCTGCAATGAGCAGGGCCATCCTCAACTAGACCAAGTTGCTCAGAGCCCCGTTCAACCTGATCTTGAACGTGTCCAGGGATGGGGCATCTACCACCTCTCTGGGCAACCTGTGCCAGTGTTTTACCACCCTCATTGTAAAACATTTCTTCCTTATATTCAGTCTACGTCTACTCTCTTTTAGCTTAATACCATTAATGCTTGTTCACTTATGCTTTTATGTATCCTATTATTTTTTTGCTTTTCATGTTAGAGAAAAAAATAGATTTAAAAAAAAAAAAGTCCAAACCTACCAAGTGTTCACTATATGGCCTGATATTCAAGTTTTGTCCAGTCTCGTCATACCTCCTTGTGCCAGTGGTAGAGCAAAGTAGCCACCTTTGTCACAGACCGTTCCTTAGCCTCAAATGGTAGCCAAGTGGTTCTGGTTCTACTTCTTCAGGTAAGTAAAGTTCACAGCCATTATTACTCATCATGACCTTTATCATAAATGGCAGGCAGCTAGCATATCTTTCCAACTACAGAGCAAAAATACAGAAATTGCACAAACCACATAATCCTAGAAATAAAATCAGCTTCCCTATTTCCATTCATAACACTTGAGAATAAATTTTAAAAAATAAATATAATAAATATAAAACCCCAAAACATTTGGCTAGTCTAGCTGATCAGTGTTCTGGACAATAGACAATGCACTTAGTCTAGACCAAGAATAGGAACCAGACATGCTTGGTATCTAATATTGCTCTTACATGTCACAAACAGCTGTAATTGGGACAGAGTGTATTATGTCCTCTTCCAGGAAGTCATGCCCATATGGTTTACTCAAGCCACTGTACATCCAAGAGTCCTCAGCAGTGCAAGTAACACTGAATTTTATGGTCCCAAGAGTCATGGCTAGGCTTCGCGAACAAAGATTTAGGAAGGCTCTATCCACGTTTGTTACAGGCACACTGGTGGCTTATGAGGCCAATACGAGACAGACATATCCGATTGCAAAAGGCACAGCAGAAAGACTCCTTAGATGGTATATTCTGCAAGACACGGTTCTTTCTGCGTTGTCTTTTCTTCTCGAGAGTGAGGTCCCAAGAGTAAGTACAAAATAAATTTTCTGTGACAGGATGTCGACACCTTTTTCCTACCCACTCCTATACATACTTCCTATAAGGAACATTTACATCACTGTAACTACTTCAGCAGTCCTGTTTATATTTGTAGCAATCAGAAAACAAACAACACCCTCCCTACCTTTATGCGTATCCCTACTATTATACACATAATGCAACTTACAAATCCAAGCCTAGATGTTTTACACACCTTTTGACAACACTTTTCTCTCAACAAAGACTCTCAAAACCAGACTGATTTGTCCCTAGCTAAGGCAGCAGTCAAAGAATCCAGTATATTCACTTCCTCTTCTACCTAACCTCTATAGACATGTACATCCACCATGCAAATGCTTGGTCTCAGCCAAGAACAGATGTAGGTTCATACAGCTTTACAGTTGCACCCCGTGCTTGGCCCTGTAAATTACTACCTTGTACAGCAACTGCAGTGTAACAAAGTTGTAATTTACACAAGGTATGAGGAACTAGTTTCATGTAAGAAAACTTATTACTATTCATTAAAAAATATAACCCGAAAAGCTCAAAGTTGATCTTTATTAGCTAACCTTTCTGAGAATCTGTAATGTCACAACAGCCTCTGAAAAACAAGACATTGCCCTTTGCTTGGGGAACATGACGCAAGGGCAGGAGACAGATACCCA